AGAAATTCTTTCCCTCTGAGTATAAGCAAAGATAATATACAATATTAAAGAGTCAATAGATTCTAATTGGACTTATCATGGAAGCTAGCTCCTCGCCGCCGTGGCGCCTAGGGACGTGGTGTGATGTATATGATTCCTTCATCCTTAATGGACCTCGGGTTTGATTCCAAGGAACTGGAAAAATCTTGGTAGGAGAGTGCTTCCTCCTTTCATGAGTCTTACTCAACATGAATTTGGATTAATCGTAGATCCAAAGTAATACCAGACACCGTGTGAGAAATCAAAAAAGAAAAAGAAAAAATAAGCTGGCTCCTCCATTTGTCCTTAGCTAAAGAAATCAGTAAGCTTCTAATTACGCATTGTTCATTTTAAGCTATATATCTACATAAATATAATCTTTAAACAAAAGATTTCAGAAAGAACGAAGAATTGAAAATCCTTTTGTTGATTAAGTAGAGTCGGAGGAAGGAAGAAAATGGCTATTTAAAGATACTAGGTAACGACCTTTCGGAATATTAAAAAATATGGAAAGTGGGATTGAAGAAAAAATGGAAAAAAGAAAATGACTATGTAATTACTTCTTGACTAGTTTTAGGGTACGCGCTTTGCGCGTGTACCTATATCAATGACTATACAAATTTTTAAAAATCACGTAAATATTATTAGACAATGGTTGAGTCCTATAAAAATAAAATTAAAGAAAACTTCCTGAAAATGATAAAAGTTGCTCCCACTTAGCATGCTCAATAAATTAAGATATTTTGTTCTACATAAGTTTTCAAATGCCTTATTGTGATTTTTTGAGAACTTATATAAAAATATCTTATGAAAATTATTGTTATTTCTCTAACCTAATAGTGAAAATAAAACACGAAAATTCTTTTATTACGATTCTGCAAATATTTGTCAAATAACACAAATTAAAAATTGAATCTTTGGTCTTTAAAAGATTTGAGTATGAAAAGGTTGATCATATACTCCCTAAAGATTTGACATTGAGAATAAAAAGTCTAAAAAAATTAATGTTGAACTAATATTTTATAATCGGTCGTCTGTTTTTTGGTTCGTCTTATGAATGATTAAGTTGGAAAAGTACTGAATTAGATTCTTTTTCTAATTAGTTAATTCAAAGAATTAATTAGTTAATTTTTCAAAATTAAAGGAAATAATTTGCTAATTTAAATTTCTAATAGTATCTTATCTCAAGTTTTAAATATTTAACTGTAATTATTATTTTATCCAATAAAAATTATATTTTCAAATAGTAAGAAAGTTATATGTTTGGATCTTTTTATTTGTAAACCATTAGTGTTTTTGACTTTTTCCAAACAGTTATGTTACATTGCTCAAAAGAAGAAATGATTTTGATAAGTTATTTAAAATTTTAATTGATTTTAACGACTTCCTACCCAACAAGAAAATATTTAATAAATTAAATTTTAGTAAATCCTAATATTAGGAAAACAACATGGAAGGTATTATAACCTTAATACAGATCGACTTTTTCGCTTTTTAAAAACAGATTTACATTGGAAGAAATTATAATTTAATTATTGTTCTAATATTTAAGACTTTAAATCAATTAATATTCCGGTTATTAAATTTTTTGTATTTAGAATATATTAAGATTTTATCTTATACAAAAATTGCTAGTATGTGGCATAACTATAATCATTAAGAAGGTATGAGGGTGGTATAAAAATTTAATACCATCTTAATACTCTATTTGGTTAGCAAACCAGGTATAAGTTATCCCGGTGTTAATTTTAACACTGGGATAACTTATACCTTATAGAAGGTGGGGTAATTAGCACCGGTATAACTTATACCTTCTTCTTAGAAATTAAGCAATTGTCATTCTTAATACAACATACCAAACAATGAATAAATAACAATCCCAGCATAACTAATCCCAATATCGGAAAAACTTATACCGGTATAAATCGTATTCCAACCAAACGACCCCCAAACTGCCTAATATCATCTGCTATTTTTTTTTTACAAAGTCAACCAAATTAGACTCTCGTCATTTTCTTTTCTTATTACGCATACAACTAAATCATCACGTCTGGAAAGTGGAAACTATGCAAATACCTTGGTTAATTGGTGTTTAAATAAAAGAGCTGGTAAAAATTTTTGTATGAAAATATGAACTAGCCGTAACGGAAGCATGTTAGCATGGTAATGAATCTTCTGTATCTTTTACAAACCGTAATAATTTAACAATTAGTTTATTTTAAAGTCTTCTATATTCAGAAAGTTAAAATGAAAGGGATTATAATTATTTTGCATATTTAAATAAAAAATAATTTATATAAGGTAAAATCTTTTAAAGCCATAAATATTAGGACTTTCTACCTAGCTCAATTAGGAAAGATATAATAACCAAAAATATAAATTGATTTTGAAATCCTAGATAATAGGAAAATAACTTAAATTACAATTTTGTCCAATGTAAAATGTGTTTTTAAAGGGTAAAAAAGGCGAACGATATTTTGCTAAGGGCTTTCGTGCTTATATATATATATATATATATATATATATATATATATATATATATATATATATATATATATATATATATACACACACACACACACACACAAGTCACAAATCATAAATATACTAGATTAATAGAAGAAATAGAAAAAGAAATTGTGGAATATACTATATTGATAGAAGATAGAAAAAGAAATTGTGTGTGTGTATATATATATATATAAAATCATTTAAAGCATAAATAATGATAATTATTTATCTAAATTACCTTTTAAATCTCAAACTTTCAAGAAACTTTTTAGAAAATTATAAAAATCATTATCAGATTAAGGGTAGATCAATTTAGAGAAAAGATAATCAATGCCTTTCTGTTTTTTAAAAGCAACAATTATTTTGGACTAAATTTGTTTGGTTAAAACGACAGGTAAAAAGGACCAGATGGAGTCATACAAATACAGTATAGAGTAACATAACTTAAGCTTTTGACATAAATTAAAGTATATTACTTTCTTGGAGTTAGGCATTAAGGTTTAGTTAATTAGTTGGCTGATATACTTCCCTAAAGTAATAAATTTATGTAACTTGCTATACAATCGAATATTTTTGCTTTTATTAATACACCCCATAATTGAAGAGTAAAGTCATAACGAAACAGATTTATTAAGACATTTAAATAGTTATATTCTGTAATTAAGCATTAAGCCTTGAGTTTTGGTGGGAGGAATAACTTGCTACATGCTTTTATTTATTTAGCTTTGAGCTGAGACCATTTCAAGGTTCAGTTAATCAGACAATCGAGCTTCTTATTAGATCAAGTATTACTATTATTTTTGGCAAAGTTGGCTAATCTATTCAACTATTAATAAGAGTAATTACAGACCAGATTTGTGCTATCGAGAGCACATAAGTGTTTGACAAAAATTTAGATCTAGGTTTAAACAATTAAATATTTTTAATAAGGTAGGGTTAATTTTACCCAATAATAATATCCACTAGATTATTAACTAGTGCCGTGACAAAATGTTACAAGATATGTGATAACAGTGATACATATACGGTAATGAACAATGCTTAATAGCATAAATACGATATAAATAGCATTAAATAGCAATAAATGACGTATGATGGTATTTATGTAAATAGATGTAATAGATATGACCGAAAAAAGGGACGAAATCGTGTAATGTTCCTTCTGACAATGATAAATAATTGATGAGCTTTTTAATATTCAGATTCTCCTTGGATCGTAGAGGAAAGACTAGACAGGGATCTCAAGAAAAAAGGTATCTTTTGTAGTAATAAAGCAAGAATCTCTAGAGAATGTCAATGTGTTTTTTTACAAATGAGTATTCAATGTCCCCTGTAACTATGTCTCTTTCTATTTATAAGGGGACATGTGCCACAAAACCCTAACAGTACAGATCCAGAAAATATTCACTGGAATATTCTCTTTAAAGTCTTATCCTAAAACTAGCCGTTATTACTCTTTTTAAGGAGAGTGCTCGTCCTCGATCTTGATCTCTGTTGACTTCTCGACCTAGCCCTTCATCTCTTGTCAGATCACTTCGACATTGAATCTATCTTTTGTTGAAGTCATACTGATGACAAATGGCAGCCCTCGAATGCCCTCTTAATGCTGATGTGGTCTAAACATAAATAAGATAATTTTGGCTCATACAGTTAGTCCCGCCACCTGTTGAGGTCGTCTTCGCGGGCGAGTTCAATGAGCGGAAAATGTCGTTCATGGTCGAGCTTGTCGAACAGATAACGTTGGCCGTAGTCGTTGTAGCAAGCAGGCAGGCTCTCTGTGGGTCGCATATTTCAAATCCCTTAAATTTTCTGGGTGATTTATTGGAGCCATCTTGTCCAAGAGAGGGGGTGACGTCATGACGTCATGCGTCATGATGATGCTTGTTCCCGATGCATTGCATCAATTTACGCGTGATCTTTGATTGGATCTGCCTGTTCGGTCCCGATGCCAATTATGATAAGCCGTTTCGGATTTGGTGCCCATTATGACAAACCATTTCGGGTTTGGTGCTTCAATCTCTATAAATAGGGATGCTTCCTTCTGTAACCTAAACTCTCTTCCCATTATCCTTATTCACTTTCTCATAAACATGTCGAATGTATCATCTGAT